GGAACCCGAGGTGGTGCCCGACCCGGAACCTGAACCGGAACATGATGACGATGACGTCTTCTGGGGCTCTTTGACTGGTAACAAGATTGCCCATCATGAGAGTTCGAGCGCCAAGAACATTCTCGATCTGGGCAGCAAAACGAATAGTCAGTTAGAGGCCAACCCCCGTGCGTCCACTGAGAGCGGTGGCGGTTTCTTCGGGTGGTTTTCAGGCAAAAAGAAGAAGTTTGGGGAGTCTGATTCGTCGATCAAGCCAGAGCCGACACCAGAAGAAATCGAGAGGGCTGCGGCTGAGGAGGAAAAGCGCAAGGCGGAGGAGGCTGCAGAACAGGCACGCCGAGAGGCCGAGGAGGAGCTCGCCAGAGAGGAGGAGAACGAACTAGCTGCGCTCGTTGCCAAGAAAAACAAGAAGAAGCGGAAGGGTATCTCCAGGGCCGAGCAAGAGCGGATGGATGAACTCGAGGCGAGTGCCAACAGGCGAGCGCTGGCGAAGGAGGCGCGTGAGGCGGAAGAAGCAGACCGAGAACAGGAACGCCAGGAGCAGGAGGAGGCCGACCGCGATGCCAAGGAAGCTGAAGAAAAGGCCAGGGTAGAGGCAGAGGAGGCTGCTGAGCGGGAACGCGAAGAGGAGCGCCAACGACTCGAGGCCGAAGCAGCAGAAGCCGAGGCGGCAGCGGCAGAAGAAGAAGCTGCAGCTGCTGAAGCAGAGGCGGCCGAAGCAGAAGCCGCAGCAGAACGGGCGCGGGCTGAGGCAGCTGCAGAGGCAGAGGCTGCATCCTCAAAGAAGTCTAAGAAGGGCGACAAGAAGAGCAAGAGTAAATCCAAGGAGAAGGACCGAGAGCGGGAGCGCGAGGAAGAGGAAGAGAGAGAGCGGGAGAGGGAGCAGGAGCGGGAGAGGGAGAGGGAGCGTGAAAGAGAAAAGGAGAAGGAAAGGGACAGAGATAGGAGGAAAGAGAAGGACAAGGACAAGGATAAAGACAGGAAGAAAGATAGAAAGAAGGGCAAGGAGAAGGAAAGGGAACGAGAGAAGGAAAGAGAGAGGGAAAAAGAGAAGGACAAGGAAGAGGACGACGAAGCCAACTATCTTACTGCCGAAGACGAAGATGATCTCTTCAAAGACCTGAATGATGCCGACCTCACAGCCGAGCAACTCGAGGAACTCCTGGATGACGGACCGTTGGGCAAGAGAGTGAAAGAGAGAGACTCGATCGAGCTATTGGATGACACCACATTGAAAGATGGGCCAAGTGATGACCCGTTTAGTTTCTGGGGTGCTGCGAAAAAGTCCATCTCGAAAAGCCAAAAGACCAGCTCGCTCTTGCCTCAGGCAGTAGATAGCCCGCCGCAACCACCAGAACCGGATATTCATACAGGTAGCAACCATGCTGAGTCATCCAAGATTCTGTCAGCTTTGGGTGCCTTTGGCGGCAAGTCGGTGTGGCACACCGAGCCCGGAACCTCGCCGTCACCCGAGCTGGCCAAGCCGACGAAATCCAGAAGCAACAAGATCGCCGATCGCATGCGCGCATTTGAGGCGGCCGATGAAGATAAGGATCCCTCGGGCGCCCATCACGATAACAACGATAATAAGGGCAAAGAGAAGGACACAGGCGCCATCTACGACGAGGAACACGATAATCACGACGATATCCCCAAGGGCGGAGCATGGGGTAAATACGGCGGTTACGAACAGTACGAGCCCTACGAGTACGAAGCGCCCAACGACGAAATCCCTCCCCGAACCATACCGCCCCCTCCCGCTCCAGTTGAAGTTGTGCCCTCAAAGGAGGACCGGAAGAAGAAGAGGAGCAAGGACAAGAAGGGGAAAGAGAAGGCCAAGGGCAGAAGTTCGGAGCCTGCCATCATCGACGTCGAGGCCTTTGCGGCTCCTCCGCCTCCTCCTGCCCCGCCGTCCCCTCCGCCAGCAGCGGCCCCGTATCATCCGCGCGCGACCCATAGAGGCCTCATGGGTGGCTTCCCGCTTGACGACGAAGATCACCACGACGATCACCCCCGAAGGCGCGATATCATGGACTTAGAGGACGATGATGAGATTGTCGATATCATCGACATGGCGCCAGAAAAGAAGACCAGCAAACGGTCAAGGAGGGCAGCCAGCTCCCCCGAAGTTGTCGATGATGACATTCACCCACCACCTCCTCCTCCGGTTCCGGTACCTCCGCCTGCCGTGCCTGATCCGCCGCCTCCTCCCATGTCACCCATGTCCCCTCCGATGCCACGCTCCGTCAAAAAGGAACGAACCAAAATCAACCGTGATGGTTCAGCCTGGAACATGTGGTCCGCTGCTGCTGCTCCTCCTCCGCCGCCCCCGCCCCCGCCTCAGGAAGAGAGTCCAAAGAAATCGTCTTCGAGGAGCAAGGAAAAAGAAAGAGAGAAAGAATCTTCCTCCAGAAAGAAGTCGTCATCTGCTATCAAAGCTGAGAAGACGTCCTCTCGGGATTCCGGCTCGGATGACAAGCCTGAAAAAATGGACAGGGTGCGCTCCAAGGACAATCCGGCCAATCGTTTCCCCAGCGTCTTCGCCAGTACACCGCCTATTTCCCGCAACGTGTCAAGCCGTGAGAAACGACACACGTCAAGCAGCAAGCCGAGCTCACGTAGGCAATCTGTGGAAATGTCTGGTGGAATCATGAGCCCACCACCCGAGGACATGTCATCCAAGGCGGCCAAAATCCTTGGTGTTGGTGGTACTGCCGGTCTTGCTGCAGGCGTCGGCCTCGGTATTTCAAGGTCCAGCGGTAGACGCAGTAGAAAGGGTGAGGATAGATTACATATGGTTGAAAGGTCAACTGCTTTGCTAACAGGTGCCTCAGCTGTCGACGAGGAGGATGATGTGGTCATGGCTGATCCCACTCCCCCCAGCCCAGACAAGGCAGAACGGCGTCGATCGAGAGTGAGTTGGACAACCCCGGTGTCGATCCCCCTCCGACGGAATACTGACGGGCCGCAACAGCAATACCCTCCTCGTCCGGAGGATGATATTGTCATGGTCGACGCTGGGGATGCGATCCCTACTCGACCGCCCTTGAAGCGCTCGAGCTCGAGCGCCAACAAGAAATCTGGATTCTCCTCGCTCTTTGGTGGCTTGAAAACAAGCAAGTCTGATCCCAGCCGCATGGATTCACGCTCAACAGACCCTCGTTTGGATCCACGCCCAGAGCCTCGCCGACGGAGCACTGCTTTCACGACGACGGATGACGAGGCTGGGAGACGAGTGGAAGAAGAAGAGGCTGAACGGGAGGCACGCCGTGCTGCTCGTCGCGCTGCCCGACGAGCGGAGAAGGAGGCTGCAGAGAGGGCTGCGGGTGATCAAGCACCCGAAGAAGCCCGCCGCGCCAAAGACGAAGAACGCCGTCGACGACGCAAGAGACAAGAAGAAGAAGACGAGGCCCGCAGGCAAGAAGAGAAGGAGGCCAGACGCGCCGAGAGGCGTGCTCAACGTGCTCGCGAAGAAAGCGACAAGCGATATGCAGAACACCCAGATCCAGACAGAGCCGAGCGTCGCAGACAACGCGCAGAGAGAGAAGCTGCCGAGGCTGATGCTCAGGCCCGTCGTGCAACGAGGCATCACGAGCGGCGCCGCAGTCACCATCCAGATGAGCCAGCACGCGAGGTTGTCGATGAAGAGCGTCAGCACCGCCGCCATCGCAGCCATCCGCCCGAAGAGTACGCATCACGCGACCAGGAGGAAGAGGAGCGTCGCCGTCGTCGCGATGCAAGGCGGGCCGCTCAGGAGGCCCAAGCTAGAGAGGAACGCCATCATTCACATAGCCGACACAGATCGGAGCCCCCGGCTGAGAATTCGGTATACCCAAATCAACACCAGCACGCAAGGGAAAATGCCGGCGGCTCCTGGCCGCACTCGGGCACGTCGTCCTGGGTGAAGGAGCATTCAGACGCACCACCTCCCCCGGAGGACGAGGAGGTGGAGCAGCCCCTTCCGGTAGAGGAGGTGATTATTGATGAGGAGGAGGCACGCCGCGAGGCTCGGAGGGCGAGACGTCGGGCGAAATATGCCGAGGCGGCTCCTCTTGAGAATGGCGGTATGACTCCCGAAGACCTTGACGAGGAGAGGCGGAGGAGAAAGCGACGGGAGGAAAGAGAGCGGGAGAGGGAGAGAGAGAGGGATCGGACTGAGCGCGATCACCGTTACCCCCCTGAGCGGGAATACCAAAAGGGCTCGGATGGCAGTGGCGGCGACGTGCGCCGCGATCCTAGACGCAGCTCAACGTTTGACGCCGCCACGCCCAGGAGCTCGTGGTGGAAGAGACTTGCTGGGAAGAATTAATGATGGCACGCACACGAGGGTGATGAGACATGATTGGTTGATGGTGAATGTTTTTTTGAAGACGATATGAAATGCTGAGTACGATAAGCCGGATGGGTTTGGCTGGGGTGGAGGAGTATTTCATCACTGGTCTGGTTTCGGGTTACGCCTGCTCTTTTTGTTTTGCCATTTGGGGTCTTGATCATGCCAATATCACCCTCCTGTGTTCATTCACTCTTTGTATTCATGGAAGTGTGGCGCTCGGGTTTGGACATCGGCACATGCATCCTGGGTCTTGAGTTGGGCTCATTTAGGCCTTGGGTTCATCATCGAATTGTTTCCATCGTGCAGGTCTTTATGTGGAAGGAGGAGAATATCATTCAGCATATGTTTGGTCTTTTGTCATGATTTTCTATTTCTGTGGGCTTTTTGTGGTTGAGACGACTATTTCTATATAATCGTTCATGTACAACAACCAAGCTTTTATTCGAATCATGCTTGAGTCTTGAGATTCATGATTGCTCTGATGACCAATCTGTGTTGATGGCTGCCGGCCAGCCACTCTTGGATGAGCAAGCACCCGGTTGCTCCTTCCTAGCTGGCCCCAGCAAGGCCTACATACCTTACATCAGCCAAACAACCGACAGCAAGAGGCAGCAGCAAACGACAACAGCAGCGATACTGATGAACTTGCCTGTGGTGTAATGTGCAAGCCTGAGTGGAGTAGTAGTTAACTCGTCGCCCTTCCAAGGCGGAAACTCGGGTGCAAATCCCGGCTCTGGCAGTCTTTTTTATCCTTTCTTCTTTTTTATCTGCCCCTTTCTCTGGCCTTGTCATTTATTCTTCGATCTTTTGATTACGATTGAATATTGGGTAATCTCCAAGTCGGTCCCTCCATCATGCTGTGATATAAATGAAATACTGCCATCCCTCTGGGGGCGTGTAGTTCCCGTCCGCACTTGGCGGGATTTGCTCAAGTCGATGATTCAACCGCCATTCTCCTTCTCTTCTTTCTTCAGCTTCCTTACCCTCCTCTCCTCTCGCCACGTGGGACCCCATTTGGTCAAGACCCAGAGGGTAGGGAAGAAGACTACGAGAACGAGTCCCCAGAAGGAGAACGTCCAGCCCCTGCCCATCGTGGTGAGCATGTGATCTATCACAGCCGTCCCGCCGGCGCCGAAAAGGCACCTGACCAGGTTCATGGCCGCGACAGCAGTGGCCGGTGCCTCTGGGTACAAGTCTACAAGCAGGGTGTTCATGATCGAGAAGGATCCCGTCACGCAGAGCCCGATCAAGAAGAGCAGCACCAGCGGCCCGGCGACGTGGGTTTCATAGTGAAGGACCCAGCCGTAGGCGATGACGGCTGCCACCCCGGCAAAGAGAAATGGGCAGGCTGGTAGGATGCGAGCCGCTTCTATTGGGAAGTTTCGGAGATCGTCGCCGCGCTTGTAGTCGATGGTGAAGCCGATCTTGCGGGCCATCCGGCGGTAGTTCTTGTCGAGGATGTAACCCTGCATGACGGCGGCGAAGCAGCATCCCACCCCGTAGGGCAGGTAGCACAGGCCGAGCTGGAGGTCGCTGTAGTGGTAGATGGCCTCGAGTTCGGTGGACAGGGTTGCGGCGATGAGGATGAACACCAGGTATATCAAGGCGCCGTAGAAGAGCAAGAGGGCAAGGTCCTTCTCAAACGCCACTCTGAGGGTGTTGAATGGGTTTGGGAAGCGCAACTTTTGCTTCTTTGTGGTGGGGGTAACCTCCTCCTCCTTCGCCGACGCTCCATTGCTGCTCTTCCGACGCCGAGCATCATAACAGCACAAGTCGAGTGCCGTCCTGTTCCACCAACTCTGCGCGGGCAGCGAGCCGTTCCCCACCACGTTTCTGCATGTCTCGGGTACCGTCAGGGCATACGGTACGATCCAGACTGCGGCGTAGATCATGCAGAACCAGAAGATGGCCGGCCAGCCGAGGTACTCGGCAAGAAGACCGCCGAACACGGGGCTGAGGGCAGGGCCGATGTTGATGCCGGCGCCGACGATGCCCATGTATTTACCCCTCTCGGCGCTGACGGCAACGTCGGCGATCACGGCAAAGCTCAGGGCCACGGTCCCGCTGCTGCCGGCGCTCTGCACCATTCTCAATACCAGCAAGGCCGCATAGTCTTTCTGCAGGGCTAGGCCGAGATTGGCAAAGATGTAGATGGTGAAGCATATCAGAAACGCCGGTCTCCTACCGGCAGCGTCTGCCAAGTCACCGACGAGGGTGGGGGCAATGGCTTGGAAGATCATGTAAGTGGTCAGGGTGAGGTTGATCATACTGACCGAGACGCCGAGGTCCCTGGCGATTGGGACCAAGGCTGGGAAGTATATGTTCGCCGTCATTCTTGATTCGGTACATTAGCTCACTATTTTATCCTCGATATATTTATCTTGCCGCTTGAAAGCGACTGGGTGACTTACGGTGAGACAAAGCTTGAGAAAGCAATCATGGTTACGATCCATCGTTTGGTCCGCTTGGAAAAGACGCTATACACTGGACCACTGGGTACCTGGGTGAGTGCCTCTGGATCGGAACCAGATGTCATGTCGTTGTTGATAATGCTCGAGGTGCTATCCTGTTGCGGGCCATGGCCGGCAGCTTGTGGGTTGCGCTTTTCACTCTCTCGTTGAAGTGGAGGGTCCTGGGGGGAGTCCATATTGTTGGATGGGACAGAGCCTCACCGTGGCAATGTGAGGATGAGGAGGAGAGAAAAACAGTCAAGAGAGACATGGAAAAACAGAGAGTGATCACATCAAGCAATGGATCGATCACACACTCCACCACCTGTCTTTCCTTTACCTGGTCGACAGATAGGCCCGTCTTGCAGAACGGCGGAAAACCAAAAGAGGTTAAACGGTGCCTGCACAGGGTCAGTTGCCTTGCAGCAGACAGCACTTAATTAGCTTGGAGCTTCTTGTCGGATAAGGGGAGGAGGCAAAAGAAGGCGTTGTTATTCCCGAGGCCGGCGAATGTGTGTACATCACAAAGGCAAGCTTGGACGAAGAAAATATGTCAAGTGAGGCGGACACTGCGGTTTCGGCCCATATTTGCAAGGGAGATAACTAAGCTTTTACTTTGTAGTTCCATCGCCCCTGGAAGGATGTCTTCTGGGGGCGTGGGTTAGTCCGCCGGCCCCGGCACCGAAGACCGCCACTTAGAAAGACTAGTAGCATCTCCATCATCTGTCGTCATTATTGGGCCTTCATCGAAGACTGCATGCAAACCAACTGAAGGCACCATTTACAAAAATGGCCGACTGCGAAGAACTAGGCATGAACACCGTTGTTGTTTCAGACAAGACCAGGAACGGTGTTAGGGGGAGGCTCACGAAGCACCTTGATGGGAGTTGAAGAAAGCCATGACCAGCCGATCGTGGTCCGAAAATCCGGGGTCAAGCCGAAGTGTGGGTCGCCATGTTCGGCTCTTGGCAAGGTTTGGCTTGCCGAGACACAGCGAGCAAGCCACAGAAGCTTGGGCCAACTTCGTCATTTGTGCAAACGCCAAAGCCACGTCAAGCAGTTCCCGATCACCAGCTAGCAGTGGGTTAGATACAAACGAAACGACGAAAGCTTGCTCCCCCACGGCAGCTAGGGGTGCTATGTCAACATGGCAGACCTCACGACGACATTTAACGCTCTTTTAAAGGGCCACGAGGCCCCTCCAACCAAATCTTTCAACCTGGACACAGCCGACGAGTTCCTGAAAGAAGCCCACAGGATAGTATGTCTCCAACCCCCCTGAAGCCCCCTCCTCCTGTTCGTCTCTTTCTAACACTAGAGACAGAACACACTCATCGCTCACCTTCATACCGAACTCCGCAACCTCCGACAGGCCTACCTTTCCACCGCCGCCCCCCGCAAGATTCACCTCCGCAATGGCTTCTCCGCGCAGCAGCAGCCCGTCTTCCTCACCGACCGCGACAGAGAAGAAATCGACGCCAACGCCAAGATGACCATCCGCGATCTCAACGCCCGCATCCGCGCCCTCGAGGACGCAGAGAAGCTCCGCCAGAGCACCGCGGCCGCGCTCCTAAAGAAGCGCTTCTCGCACGGGCTGGGCGCCTTGGGCTCCTGGGCAGCCGGCGGGGCCATGTTGGGCAAGAGCAGGGAGCAGGAAGCGGCAGAGGCGGCGGCGCATCAGCTGGAGGTGCATCGGGAAAGCGTCATTTGGTATCTCTCAACCCGGCTGCGGGAAACGATACGGACGCAGCAGCGCATGATGGAGACCCGCCTGGCGCGCGAGTTGGAGAAGAACAGGAGCGTCTTGGCCAAGGCGGCCAAATTCTCGACATCGTGGGCTCCTCCCAGCGGAGGTTTTACCCCTAATAATGAGCCAACAACAACCGGGACGAGGTCCGTTGCGAGTCATACGAATCACGGCAGCGCTGAGGAGGAGGAGCAAAGGCAGAAGCCATCACGCCTGGATAATGATCTCACCGCGGACCAGATCCAAATGTTTGAAAGGGGAAACCAGGATATGCTCAAACACTATGAAAGTACGCTGGATAAAGTCAGGTAAGTGTTTATTCATCATGGCAGAGGCTTCTTCTCAAAGTCAATGTAATAATACTGAACCCAATGAACAGAACTGCGGAAAAATCACTTATCGAAATCGCCGAATTACAAAACCTACTTGTGGGCAACCTTACTGCCCAATCCGCTCACATTGACCAATTGGTAGCCGAGTCATTTGACACGACGGAAGGCATTGGAAAGGGCAACAAAGAGCTAAAGAAAAGTACTGAGAGGAGCAGTTTTGCTCGGTACACTTTTTATGCCTCTCTGGGGTTATGCGCGACGCTTATTACCTGGGACCTCATCATATAAGTATTCCCGTGACCTGTATGTTATGTCCTTTGAATAAGCTCAAGTCACATTGTACATATCAATGGCTGTTCTTATCATTTCACATTAATATCATTTTTTTTCTGAAGTGGACGTGGTCTGGAATTTCCATGACCGTTTCTAATGGAGTAAGAGGAGTGGCTCCCATCTATCCGCAAGTACATAATCATTCATATTTTCCCACATGTATTCCCATAGTGCTACAGCACTTTATTTTTTTTCATCCCAACCTCTTGTGCTCAGCCCATCTAAAGAAGCAAACCAAGGTACCTAGAAACCTCTTGATACCTACACACACAAATGTCGTAACCCGCCTATTGGGCAGAGAATCCCTTTTAAAATGAAGAAAAAACAATGCAAATGAAAATCCATGCTACACAAACAGCCAACGCAGGCTGGTTCATCTCGGAGACGTTTGTGTACCTTTGACAACAAGCACCTTCTACTTATTGCGAATCACGGACAACACTATCGATAGCCTTGGCCACATACTCGACGTTCTTGGTATTCAAACCAGCCATGCTGATTCGCCCGTTCTTGGTCATGTAGATGTGGAAGTCCGACCTGATCTTCTGGACCTGGGCCTCGGTCAAGCCGGTGAAGCTAAACATACCGATCTGGTCGGTGATGTGGTTCCACTGGCCGGGTGTGCCCAGTTCCTCGAGCTTGGATCGCAGTGCCTGGCGCATGGTGATGATGCGGCCAGACATGGTGCGGAGATTCTCCTGCCACTCGGCAAACAGGTCCTTGTCGTTCAACACAATCGAGGCAATGCGGGCGCCGTAGATGGGAGGGTTGCTAATCTCTGACCGCTGCAGGATGGCGAGTTGGGAGGCAACACGGGTCGTGACCTCGGCGGCGTCTGGTGATGGGGGAGCCACGTAGTGGAAGCAGCCAGCACGTT